GCTATCTGGAAGTGGATCCCTGCTGGATGGTGTAAAAGATTCCACTTTTTTCTTTCTGTTACTGTTGACTAACCCTTGGATGTTATCGACAGTGGTTGGCTTAATCTGAAACAAAATACGACAAAAATTCTAACCAACATGTACAGTGTCCTAGCTTAATCGTAAATCTTTACTTCTAAATATTTTAGGCAATCGATTGATGTTTTTACCAGGGTWAAATAAAGAAGCTTCCTTCCTTCCTTCCTTCCAAATTGAATGGATTAGATACTCCAATTTGCTTTTTTTATATTAGATTTGTACAAAACTGTGTGTGTGTAAATAGCATATATACCTCTTTTTTGAAAACTTTATTCCATTTGCAAGCTTCACTGGTCACAGATGTTTTATTGATTCCATATCTAACGCCCAGTTCTACCTTAAACAGCAGGGCTGCAATATGACTACAAGCTTCCCCTAACCTGGAAGAAATATAATTAAAATCATGTCATAAATTGCATAAAAGACATTTATAATATTATTCACTTACAAATTACTACYTACCCTGCAGCACATGTACAATGGGCACAAAATATGTCTGCACTGGTTTTGTGTAAACAGACCCACGGCTGATGAGCTTTTTCCTTCGTTCTCATGGAGGGAAGAACTCCGGCTTTTAAAAAACAGTAGGGTGCTTCTTTAACATCAAACGCTTTGACATCCTCGACGTGGCCACTTTCGACATATCTACAAACCGAAATTTATCACGAAAAGTTTAGGATTTTGAAAGTCAAAGCAATCTTTTAAATTCCAAACGTGACACGGTGTAATTCATTTAAAGAACCTAGTTCAGTTGACTTGTGCTGTAAAAAGTAACGCAGCTTCAAGACAACAATCTTGTGTTTACATATGCAAATAATATTATCACAATAAGTGTCATAAACAGCCAATTAGCGACCGCCATATTGCTCAAGTCGCTTGACAAGTTCACGACAAAAATGACCGAAAAGCAATATTTTGAAAACTTTTTTAAAGTTGAGATAAATTTTAAATAAAGCTTTTAGGTTTGCCATAGAGGTTGATTAATTTACGACTCCATAAAATTCATTCAATGCTCGGTATAAAAGCCATCTATATAGACTAGAGGCGTACGTTGATGGGGTTGATATTTGTACAAAACAACTACTCTTTTCTTTAAAAGCTTATGTACTGGCAAAACAGTCTTTTGCAGTAATACCAACAAAAAGTATTTAGTATTATAAACTTACCTATATGCCTCTAAGCTCTTGTATGCTTTCATTGATTTTTTGTCAAAAATAGACGGTGTTTCTACTAGGTACGTGTAAATCTGTCCAAAGTCCAGGTCCGGCCAAAGAGTAGGGTCGGTCGACCAATTTTCATCTTTTATGATGTATGGGTCCGGTAAAATAGTTCCAGATACACCAAAACCTAATTTTTTCCGGTACCGTTCTTTTGCTTCTGATGGCATACCCATTACATATAAAGAAAATGAATTCTTAGTGTCCTTAGCCATAGCCAAGAGACGGCTTTCCCCAGCCGTCAAAAATTCCACCGCGCGTATGAGTCCGAATTTGACGGCCAGCTTCGAAATGCACGAGCGGATGTGACGTCAAAAAAAGATTCCATGAAACCTGGCGGACTTCTTATCTGTATTTCGTTGTTCCTCGGTGAATCGTTTCATCCTAAAAAAAAGTCGTGTTAATTATGATTTAAAAAGAAAGAGCAATGACCCAACAGCTTCTACTGATATCCTAAATGGCGCATACAAGGTTTGAATGATTGGTACAACTTAGTACAATGTTAAAAACCGCCATGAAACAAAGTAGGTTCGAAATATGACCTCGAAGCTACACATATTAATTGACAAGATGAAATAATCATAGTACAGGGTGCAAAAATACAACCCAAGAAAGTTATGAAAAACTTAATTGCGCACGATTATCTTCAAACGGAATAAAAGAAAGACAGACTTGAGCAATGAAGTTTACATTCGAGTTGTTTAAGTTGTCTGTTGCCTTAATAATTCTATGAATATGAGAGTAATAAACTATAGTTGTATATATATTGTAATAAATTACAGTAGTATTGTAAATAAATAAAGTATTGAAGAAACAAATTGCTGTTGGTGGTGTTAAAAAAACCTGTTAAAAAAATGACAACATTGCTAACTGGCAATGCTGAAAGAAGTGACAAACAACCTAAACATGAAGAACATTTGTCACTAATTAAAAATCCTTAATCTAAACTTATTTATTGCGGTAACTGCGAGTCAGTCATTGCTTCAGCTGCAAGATAGCAATAATTTGTTATAAGGATGTGAGAGAAACTAGCTAGTAACTTTCATTTGTCTAATTATTCAAGTGACCTGATTATTTTAGAAACATTGAAGTTCTTACATGTAAGGGTTAGACTAGTCTTTATATGGGCTAGCTGTACTTTAATTTTATATTTCCCCCCCTGGAATTATATGTAATTCTTTTTCTCCAACCTGGCCACTCATACGAGTATGAGAAATCCTCATTAATAGTGTAATTCAATATTGCAAACAGTAATCGCAAACAGTAATCATCATGAAAAAGAACTTTTACAAGTTATGGTCTACCCCAAAAAAGGATAGCCTAAAGAGGGGTGGACACAAGGGTGCTACCTTGTGATATTGTTTCACCATTCATCCTATTGCCTAAAACATGAAAAAATACTGACAGTAACAACAGTTTTGCAAGGAAGCACATACTTTTTTATTTAATGAGTCCTTTTTTAAATACAACAGAAATGCTAAAGTTTTACGGCTACATATACAATATTCAGTATATATTAAATTGTGCTTGAACATTGAGCACATTAAGATTGTCATTTCTACCAAGGTCTGTCACAAGCAACCTGAATAATGAAGAGTTTCTCTCTTGGCTGGGGAAAAACAAGACACAATTGGCCATAGGCATCCAACATGACGATATCCTGGACCTACGATCTACGAAGTACTCCAAGAAAGATACGTCTTGGGTAGCAATCTTAAACGTGTTCAAAAACAGTTAAGCTACGGGTCACTTGATAGACAATGAACAACTCCGAATCTCAGTATCCAAGCAGTCAAAACTATAAGAAGTAGCAGTAGCAGTAGAAAGTCAAAACCATATGAAGTAAGCCACGGAGTAAGTTTACATCACTTTAGTTTCTAAGCGACTCAAAAAATGGCTTAAAAAACCGTTGTTGATGAACTTTCGCACAAATTGCAGCTTTCATACTTCAAGCAATCCAAAAGCTGTCTTGTAATCTAAAACGGGAGCAACATACACACGAAGAAAGGAATTTTTTCCCACATTTAGACGATTTGGAATACTAGTTTGGCCGCCATTTTGGAACGAAAACCACGTGATCAAATACTCCAAAAAAAATAATCTTGGAGTATTTTAGGTCACGTGACCAGCCTTTACCAGGGTCTTCTTCCCGACGACCGCCATTTTGTTTTGGAGTCGGGCCGAGAGGGCCCTGGGAACGAGGTTGTGGAAGAGTGTGCTTAGCCTTCGATGTGGCCTGGCCGCTCAGTTTCAAAATGGCGGACAAAATGGCGGCGTTTGTCCCACGAGCTGTACGAAGAAAAGACGGTAAAAACAACATTAAAAACTCTCTGAAACGAAAACCAACATCTCAAGAAAAACAAGAAAAAAGTAAAGTACATATTGTTGACCTAAGGGAAAAATGTAACTCTGCTGCGAGCATTCCTATTCCTGATAAAGTTTCAAAAGAAAATGCGAATTTAGAAGACGACGATGAAGAAGAAGTGGAAGAAGAAATTGTATCTTACAGTAAAAACCAAAGATGGCCAGACCAGGATGAACCTGTTTGTGTTGTGTGTGGACGATACGGAGCCTACATTTGTGATGAAACAGAAAAAGACGTTTGTAGTTTGGAGTGCAAAGCAAAGCATTTAAAAACATTGGGAATATCTGTGAAAACATTAATATCTTCTCCTAAACAATTCCAARATGAAACTACAAATATATGTTCTCTGTCTACGTCGTCGAATTCGGAATTAAATTATAACGAAAGTGATGTTGGAACAGAAAATTTGTCTTTCCAAAATTACAAATTTAAAGAACATCCTACGATATCTAGTTTGAGTGAGACTAAAGTTCAACACTTGTTAAAGAGTTTAGAAATTCAAACGAAGGGAAATAACGTGACTAAGCCAATTCTAGAGTTTTTCCATTGTCAGTTTGATAAACTGCTGTCTGAGAACATTACTAAGTGTGGTTATTTTTCTCCAACTCCAATACAAATGCAGTTGATCCCTGTGGCATTGAGCGGTAGAGATATCATTGCATGTGCGCAGACAGGATCTGGTAAAACTGCTGCTTTCTTGTTACCTATGATAGCCAGGATTCATAGTATTACAGGTAAAACCAGTGTATGGCAGTCAATAGACCCCTTGCATTAAATTCCTAGAGGAATTGTTTTGGGGGACCAAACAATAGGGCATCTATTCTTATGCAAAAAAAAAATCCATGGTTTTGTCCCCCAGAACAATTCCTCTAGGGACTCAGTGCAAGGCTGTGTCTATAGACCTCTTTATCTTGGGGGTAGTGGTTTCCCATTTCAGACCACATGTCATTCTCTTGAGAATAAGGTTCTTGGTTTGAGGTGACTGCCTACTTTTGGAAAACGATTTAAACTTTTTTTTAAACTTCGATTTCCCAAATTGAAATTTAATGCTGATTCTAAATCTGGAAAGAAAAATTGGGTGTCCCGAGCTTGTTTTCGAGATAATCAGCATTAATTTTAATGGAAGCCTACACTGTACTTGCTAGCTTTTGGAGCAAAACTTGCACCACCAGAAATGATTGGAAAAAAATTAAGATTCATAAGATAATAGTTATTTGCAGACTATAATATTGCACAAATGACGGCTAGTCAATCATTCTACAATGATACATAGATATTTTTTGACAAAAAGACAAAGAGATACATTGATTTGTCATATTTTGTAGTTTTGGTGCTTTGTTTGCCCATGACATCATAGCCACCATTGTGGATGAATTTAACAAAAGAATTGTCAATGCATTCTTTTGTTATATCATCTAATATGGCCGGCTTGTCTTTTGTTATTTCACTCCTCTGGAGATGATTGAAAACCAGGAATTTATGTGTCTTTTCATATGCATCCATACCCTGCTGGCAGAGTCTTGGTTAATTTCTCCTGAGCGAGAAGGTAAAAGGGAGATTCTGYTCTCAGGGTAATGCAACTATAAAACAAAGAAATGATTCTCTAGGGAATGACATGTGGTCTGAAATAGTAAAGAGGTCTATTCTAAAAATATATATTTATATGTTTTTATAAGAACTTAGTCATGGGTATTGCGCACTGCTAATTTTTTTTGTATGTAATTTCAACAGATAAGTTATTACCAAAGAGTGCATTATTGCGAACACCACTTGGCTTAGTCCTAGCACCGACACGTGAGTTATGTATGCAGATAGAAGACCAGGCTAAGGAATTCATGCAAGGCTTGTCTAACATGAGAACAGCGTTGCTTGTCGGCGGGATGCCTTTACCTCCACAAATTCATCGTATTCAGGTATTATAATTGTTATAATATTATTATAGCTATAGATTTTAATATTTGTAAAAGAGTATTGTAATTATTGTCAAATAACTAAAAGATCCACTGCGAGGGCCATGCAGTGGCATTCAGGGACCCACTGAGTGGCTCTTTATCAACTGAAATCCCAATTAGAATTTAGAAGTTGATTTTTGTGTAGGGAGGAAAACCAGAGGACCCAGAGAATAGCAGGAGAAAACCAACAAGCAACTCTACTCACATACAACATGGAGCCTGGTGGGACTCGAACCCGGGTGATATTCGTGAGAAGCGAGCGCTCTTTCACTTTTATGCCACTGTGCCAACCTAACTTCCCAATATGTTGGGCAATAGACCTCTTCGGCTTGGGGTAATGTTTTCCCATTTCACACCACGTGTCATTCCATTGAGAATAAGATTCTTTGTTTGAGCTATATCCATATCCATGTGTCTTCTCATGTGCAACCGAGCGCAAACCTTAAACAAAGAAATGATACTCTAGGGAATGACATTTGGTCTGAATTGGGAAAACAAGAGGTCTATACAATTACATTTTTTCACCGTCTTATACTAGTATAGTGTGCTTTAGATTATACATGCTGTAATAACACTAATTCCTTCAAATTCTACAGATGGGAGTACAAATCATTGTAGCTACGCCAGGAAGGTTGCTGGAGATTCTGTCAAAGGTTAATTTAGACTTGACTAATGTGAAATGCTTAGTGGTGGATGAAGTGGACAGCATGTTTCAACTGGGTTTTGAACAACAGGTAAAGAATTACCATATCAATCCCCAATCCATCCCATCCCTTTCTATTCATCCTTTCAATCCCATCCTATTTATCCTTCCCATCCCATCCTATTCATCCATCCAATATGTATCCATTCCATTCCATCGCATCATATTCTTCCATCCCATTCTATTCATTCCTCCACTTATCCATTCTATCATATCTCATCCTATTTATGCATCCATCCATCCATCCATCCA